TCTGCCTTTGGCTCAGGTCATGATCTCAGGGTCCTGGGATCGAGCCCCGCATCGGGCTCCCTGCTCGGCGGGAGGCCTGCTTCGCCCTCTCCCACTCCCCCTGCTTGTGTTCCTGCTCTCGCTATCTCTGTCAAACAAATAAATAAAATCTTAAAAAAAAAAAAAAAAAAGTGGTACTAAAAAGGAGTGCTCGTGTATTCAAATGTGTCTTACACGGAACCCTGACATGTTGGAGCACTCAAGCTCCTGACTGCAGCTATGGAGCTAATTCACTTTTGTATAAACACTGACGTCAAGCTTCTCCTGCAGCACGTCCTCGGCTGATTGCAGCAGCATCTGTTACATAATGAGGACCACTTCCCAATACTTAACCTGTGCGGCCATGGTCTTCCCATTAGTACACGATCCAAATAAGATGCTGAGACAGAGTGGCTAACTGAAACAGACCTACTACTCTGATTGGCTGGCTCCTCAATAAGGAAATGTGAAAAGCTGCACTTATAAAATAAATTCATACAAACACAACCCTACCGCCATTTTTATCTAGGCTCTGTCTTTGAGGGAATTTTCAGTTCTGCTATTTATTTGGAAAAGGAATAAGGCATGGTGAAAAATTAGTTTAGGACCACTGGTTTAGCTAAAGGTGGGTAGGAACTTCAAATAGTCCCTTCCGATCTGATTATTTTATCCCATCACTTGTCCAACCACATCAGAGAAATGAAATTTTAATATGGAAGAATATTCATGGTGATATGTTGTTGTTAAATGAACAAAGGAGGTTCCAATGAGTCGTATACAGCGTATTACACACACACACACACACACACATATGCACACAGATACACACATGTACACTACATCGTATATATGCTTAGAAAAGACTTTGCGTGTATATGCCAATGTTAAAGATTATACAAAAAGCCAATGAGAATTATTTTTAGAAAGCAAAGCAAAGAAACATGACATTTCTCAATGTAGAAAGATGGGTGTGATTGGCACGTACTTCCAAATGCAGCAAGCGAATAAATGTGTGAGATCAGCCTGGGGTTGGCTAAGTACACTCTGTGTATTCCTTCATTCAGTCCCCGCTGATTGCTTGACAATGAGGCACACGGACAGAAGCAGGGAGGCCAGACAGAGCGGTGGTGTCAGCACTGGCTTAGATGTATATAGGCAACGGTCCAAGTTCTAATTCTGTCCTGAAAAGCTGTACATCCTCAGTCACACTTGACTGCTCTCACAGTCAAATTTCCTCATCTACAAAGTGAAGATAGGGATACCTACCTAGTAGGACTATTGTAAAAAAAAAAAAAAAAAAAAGCGAAATATGCTTACAGCCTTAGTACCATGCCTAGTTCACAACGAAGGTCCAACAAATGGCAGCAATTAGTAGTCTTAGGATGTGTTTCCTGCCGCAAGGTACTTCCAGTCTAGTGGGGAAGGCAGCTGAACTTCTTGCTCATTGACCATGAAGGAAAGAGATTACTTCGGCCTCTGCCAAATCTTTTTTTTTTTTTTAAAGATTTTATTTATTTATTTGAGACAGAGAGCATGAGAGGGAGGAGGGTCAGAGGGAGAAGCAGACTCCCTGCCGAGCAGGGAGCCCGATGCGGGACTCGATCCCAGGACTCCAGGATCATGACCTGAGCCGAAGGCAGTCGCTTAACCAACTGAGCCACCCAGGCGCCCCTCTGCCAAATCTTTTGGGTCCCTGAAGCTAGAAACCCAGGAGAAACAGCAAAGAGCAGAGGGCCCTTAGATGTTTGTCAGCCCTTCAGCCTAGGTACCCGGCAAAGGTGCCCTGTGTCAGGGGGCAGTGAACAACACTTGCGTGGGTAATATGGCTGTCACAGCTCTTGGACACAGCTGTCCCTGTGGTCCCAGTCCTGCCTACTTTCACTAGTTCTAGTTGGCGTACGTTCTTCATTGCTGCTATAGAACATGGGGTCCCATCATCATGTGTCACCTGCTACACAGGGGTGCGTGTCTGCTGCAACTCTCAGAATAAAGTTCTCTCCCCAACAAGCTGAACTCCTCAACCCACACCATATTCCAGCTTTCAGACTCTGAAAGCTATTTTCAGTAGCGAGTCCCTTCTAAGGAACATGGAATACAGAAGAGTTTTGAATAATCTGATGGCAAGGAAGCACTAGATTTTAAAGATATGGCTGCAAACTAGCTCAGGCTATCTTGTACGATCTCTAACCCAATGTAAGACTGGAGCTTTGAAAGCCACTTTTAGTTTGGTCTTTTATTGTTTTGATGAACTAGAAAGCAGATAAGAGAAAAAAGGCCCCCAAACAGGGATGACATCAGCGAGAGAGGGAGAAAGGCAGGGGGTTGCAGAACTGCACAGCTGAGTTAGGAATATTCGGCCCGAGGGTGGAGATGGGGGTGAGGGGGAAAGCAGGGAGAGGTGGGCAGGGAGCACTGACGGTGGTGGGAGGAAATGTACCAGGCGGAGCCTGATTAGTGGGGAAGCAGGCAGAGGTGGAGAAGGCAGTCAGGGACAGGGGTTAAGCTAGAATATCACGGCAGCTGCTGACAGGGTTCCATGAGACATCCCTTCAGCCGCCTGTGACTTGAACCACATCTCATTTCAGCTCCAGCTGCGGCGGGCCATTCCCTCGGACACTGAGAACATCCCCCATCCTTTTTTTTTTTTAAGTATAGTTGACACACGCTGTGACGTTAGTTTCAAGTGTATAACAGTGATTCCACACGTTTACACATTATGCTCTGCTCACCGCGAGTGCAGCTACCATCTGTCACCATGGGACATATTACAATGTCACTGACTATATTCCTTATGCTGTGCCTTTTATTCCCGTGACTTGTTCATTCCACAACTGGAAGCCTGTATCTCTCACTCCCCTTCGCCCATGTTGCCCATCCCCCACCCTCCTCCCCTCTGGCAACCATCAGTTTGCTGCGAGCCTCCCATCTTGAAGCTTCCCCAGCTCCTCTGCTTCAGAACTTTCTCCGAAGCTGCAGAACCCACTCAGCCAAGTGTGGAGGATTTAATGTGAGGCAGGGAAGTGGGAGGTAAGGAGAGGGAACAAGGGTAGGATGAGGAGTTGGTGGATAATGCTCCAGCCTTCAAACCTATGGTGGTGGGGGAAGGGGGGGGCGAGTTATTCTAGGTGCGCTCGGAACACTTCCTCAAAGGGTCGCCGGTGAGATTCAGCCCCGGTTGCCCAAAGTGGTGACCAGCTCAATATTTCAATATAGCACTGTTCGTGGACTTCCCATTCTTCCCTCCATCAATCTCTCCGCCCTCACTCCAGTTTCTGGAGGTCGCCTCCCAAGTAAACGACCTGCACATCAGTCCTTGTCTCAGACTCTGCTTTCAAGGGACCCCAAACTAAAAGAGGATTGAAGGGAAGAAAGTTGGTGGCAGCAGTGGCCCCAAGGGAGAAAGAGCACGTTACAACGTCCGTGTAGGTCCTACAACACACAATATTAATCACAGTGACATCGGGCTGAACGGAATCTTAAGACACTATCTATGCCTGTCTTCTTACCTTAAGGCAGCTACTTCATCATCCCAGACAGGAGAGCCTTTCTTAGAAGTTGCTACGGGGAAAATTCCTTAGCGTCATTCACAAACGCTATGAAGTTAAGAGTTATCACTAGTACTGATAATGAATTGGACCACGAGTACCAAAAGCCTAAAAAAAGATATTACTGTTAACTTGTTATAAACCTATCCGATCAAGCTGATTGATGATCATGGGGAAGGTCAGTGTGTGAGTTCAGGGCTCATTATACTGAATTACGACCTCCCTTCCCACCTCAATAAGGGTTTCTGTTTTTACCACGTATTGGACAAGAGCTAGTTTTCCCTGCTCACTGGGGCAGCATAAGCAAAATGATTTTGCCCACTCTTATTTAAAAGCTCTGTGCTCATTCAGTTCTGAAAATTTTATTTTTTAACACTTACGTTTAAAAAAAAATCATCAGGTATCACTTAACAACCTGAATATTATTTTAGCTCTCAGACTCTCTCTTCTTTAGCTTCTTAGATGTTCTCAGAGACATTGATATAAATTTTGTATCATTGGTATAAGTTTTATTGGCTAAGAATTCATTTTGTTGCTCTGTAAAAGAACCATATATTTTCATAGCAAAGCTATTTTCTTGATAAGATCACCCTCTATGGATTAAATTTCTCTTTCAACAGGGCGCCTGGGTGGCTCAGTTGGCTAAGCGACTGCCTTCGGCTCAGGTCATGATCCTGGAGTCCCGGGATCGAGTTCCGCATCGGGCTCCCTGCTCAGCGAGGAGCCTGCTTCTCCCTCTGACCCTCCCCCCTCTCATGTACTCTCTCTCATTCTCTCTGTCTCAAATAAATAAATAAAAATCTTTAAATAAAAAAAAAAATAAAAATAAATTTCTCTTTCAACATTGATATCAAGTATGTAATTCTCAGAATTATTCAAATGGCTAAATAAATTTATGAGTAAATTTCAGATAGCATGTAAGATGAGGGTGGACATTTTGAAATAGACTCCTATTTAAATAATCATTACAGGGAAAAATCACACCTTCAGCAGAAAGAAAACAGTCCCACCAGATTTTTTTTCTTTTCATGGTACAAATGGAAAAAAAAAAAAAATCCGAGTTCTAAAAGGGAAAATTAGAGCCGTTATCTGGACTATTTGTGACAGTCCTCAGAATGAAAAAAGCTATTCAAATCCACAATGTAGAGAGTGCATGTAGCTGGTTGTAATTGACAATGAACTTCCAGTGGTGTTTTGAAGAGGCACATCCTGGCACTGAGGAATGGTGGAGGTAATTAAACAGTCATAAACATCTGAAACTGGAAAGCAGCCTGGCATTACTAGAACTAATAGTCTAGTAGTCGATCTGCAGTGCTCCTTTTCAGCTTAAATAATGTTTGCCAGAATTCTCAGTCAACAGTTGTCTCCCTCTCTTTTTGCATCGAGCTGCAGGAATTGTATGGATCCCGCTGTGATCAAGAGATGAAGAGGCACCAGGGTTGTCATGAATAGGCCGCTGGAAGGCTGGAGCAGGAGAGATCAGAAAACGCATCTCAGTACAAACCCTCCCCTGCTGACCAACACAGGAAAGAACAGTAGGGGATCTCTGACATGTGGGGGCAAAGTGTGCCTCATCTCGTCATTTGCATTTGCAATAACTTAAAAAGCTCCAGAAATCTGCCTATGACTTCAGGGATGTGTGCTGGGACCTAGGCTGAGGTCAAAAGTTCTTTTCTTCTCTTTGGTGTCCGAGGGCTGTGCCTACAGAACCTGAAACCATCTAATCCAGAGAAGGAGCAGGCGACTGGCGTTAGGAGCATGCAGATTAGGGTCCAAGTTCTGTGGCTGCCGTTTACCTGAGGAGTGACTGTGAGAGAAAATATTTTATTTTTCTGCTCAGTTTCCGGTCTGAAAAATAATGGTAATAACCATAACTACCTCGTAGGGTTGCTGTGAGCCTTCCACAGGATTATGTATGAAAAGTGCTTCATGCGGTACCCAGTACAGAGTATTACTCAATGAGTAATTCTCATGACCGCTGCTTTCAGAGACAAGGAAAACTAATGCCAGATTTTTTTTTCTCACAGTATGTAGATTATTATAAGACTCAGGTTGAAGTAGAGACAAAATGCCATAGAAGACATTCATGACAGAATGGAAGTTTCTACCATCCCTGTGTAAAATCCACCATGTGCCTAGCACTGGGCTGGGTGGTTTCCCATGAGAATTCTCAGTTTGCTGATCACTGGGTGAATGAAGGTTAACAAATGCTGTGTGAGTGTGATTCCAAGTCCTGTGGTCTTTTAGCTACACTTCCTAGCTTACATCTCATAGGTTAGAAGCCAGCTTCCTGGGCAAATCTTTCTGAGCTTTACTGTGGGATGGTATTACCAGGCAAATATCCTTTCTCCATCCCCTCCCTCTTGCCTGTTACATCTGTGAATTATTTGTTGAAAAAAATACTTATTAACTGACCCCTATGTGCTGGACGCCTTTTTTTTTTTTTTTTAAAGAAAATCCTATTTCCTAACCAAGGTACAGAACAGTGTAAAATGTGTTCTACTTTGCAGAAAAAGAATACATACATACAGAAGTATTTGAATATGTCTTGACTAGTTCTGGAATATTCTGGAAGAGACTGGTAATTGTGGTTGCTTCTGGGAGGGGAATTGGGTGAATGAGAGAGAGGATGGGAGGTGAAACTTTTGGCTCTTGTCAAATTATGCACTCCAAGCATGCATTCATTATTTAAAGTTATTTTTTAAAATAATGTTTCCTTATGGGGCTATAATTATATTTAT